ACAACTGACTGAACACCAAAAAGGAAACCTCCTGAAGTGAAATGGACACTATGGGAAACGGTGACTTGATCAGCATAGCCCTGACTGTTAATGAACAACTTAATACATTATCCCTCTTAGTAGTTTTTTTGTCTGTTCTACTTAATATGACTGGTTTAATTCTGTAATTATTACACAGTTATTCTTAAGTGTTGAAAATTAACTGAAATGTGATCCCTGTTAAACATAAGAGTGGGAATAAGAGAGGGAAGAGATGTATAATTTGGGACATGCTCAAGCTGACTTGCCCCAAATGGTAGAGTTAGAAACATACCAGGGGATTCCAATTCAATCCCATCAAGGTGGCATGTACCAATGCCATCTCACTATTCCAAGTGATCAATCTCAGTTCACAATTGATCATAATGAAAGGACTAAGAGTCAAAGGGAGCACATAAACAAGTCTAGTACCTGCTAACACTAACCGATAGAATAAATAAAGGGGAGAGTGATCCAACATGGGAAGTGAGATACTCAGAAGACTCATAGAATGGCAGATGTCCTAAATAGCACTCTGGCCTCAGAATCAGCCCTAAAGGCATTCCGATCTGGCTGAAAAGCCCATGAGAGTATTTCAGGCATGGAAAGCCAAGACACTCTGGCAAAAGATCTCTGTGAGTGAGATCCCAGTGGAAAGAACAGGTCTTCAAAGAAGGAGGTACCTTTCTCTGAAGGGAGGAGAACCTCCACTTTGACTATGACCTTGTCTAAACAAGATAAGAGTCGGAGAACTCAGAGGGCTTCCATAGCCTTGGAAACTCATGACTGGAGCATAGGGAGATTACTGATGCCATAGACAGGAGTGTCAATTGGTAAAGTCAACAACAGGAGTCACTGTGCACTTACTCCTCATGTAGGATCTCTGTCCTTAGTGTGCTGTACATTGAGATTTAATGCTATAACGAGTACTCAAACAGTATTTTTCACTTTGTGTTTCTATGGGGGTGCAAACTGTTGAAATCTTTACTTAATGCATACTAAACTGATCTTCTGTAAAAAAAAAAAAAAAAAAGAAGAAGAAGAAATTATCAATTCCCAACTTGACTCTCACTGGGATTAAACATGACAATAGGTCTGATCTGATTTCATCATCATTTAAAAAATCATCCATTATTTTTCACTTTATGTTTCTGTGTGGGAGCAAACTGTTGAAATCTTTACTTAATGTATGCTAAACTGATCTTCTGTATATTAAGATAATTGAAAATGAATCTTGATGTGAACGGAAGGGGAGAGGGAGTGGGAAAGGGGAGGGTTGCGGATGGGAGGGACGTTATGGGAGGGAAGTCATTGTAATGCATAAGCTGTACTTTGGAAATTTATATTCATTAAATAAAAGTTAAAAAAAATCATAACAAGTTGAAAAAAAAAAGAAACACTGAAAAAAAAATTTATTCATGGGAGAGGGAGCGGGAGATGGGAGGGGTGCAAATGGGAGGGAAATTATGTGGGAGGGGGGAGGAAGCCATTGTATTCCATAAACTGTACTTTGGAAATTTATATTTACTAAATAAAAGTTAAAAAAAAAAGAATTCATGTTTGACCTACACATTTGTTTTCCCTGTGAAGTTTTACCACAAAATGGTTTAATTCAATAAATAAATATTTAATGAAAAAAAAGAAAAACTTTCATATATAATTTACTAAAATAAGCATGAATCAGTTCATAAATCAAGTATATATAATATAACTATTTTTTCAAAAAAATTATTTATTTATTTGAGAGCTGGAGTTATAGACAGAGAGAGGGAGAGACAGAGAAAGGTCTTCCATCCTCTGGTTCACTCCCCAAATGGCCACAACGGCTGGAGTTGGGCCAATCCAAAGCCAGGAGCCAGGAGCTTCTTCTGGGTCTCCCGTGTGGGTGCAGGGGCCCAAGCCCTTGGGCCAACTTCTACTGCTTTTTCAGGCCATAGCAGAGAGCTGGATCAGAAGAGGAGCAGCCAGAACACAAACCGGCGTCCATATGGGATGCCAGCGCTGCAGGTGGAGCCTTAGCCCACTATGCCACAGCACCATCTCCAAATGATCACTTTTTGTAAAATCTATATTTCTATAAATGCAACATCTATAAAATATAAGTATAGAAAAAGCATTCAATAGATATAATAAAAATGTTAATCCTAGTTGTCGCTCCCCCTCTTCGTGGAGGAACGACTCAGGACCCTGCCTAGGCTTCATATCCGAGTCACGGCACCATTATGTCGCTCCCCGTCTTTGTGGAGGAACGACACAGGACCCTGCGTTGTTCTTTTGTCTGCTCGGCCCTCCCCGGGTTTGCTGCTGGTCCTTCCCGGGTTGGCTGCTGGTCCTTCCCGGGTTGGCTGCTGGTCCTTCCCGGGTTGGCTACCATCCTTTCCACCTCCGTGGAAGGGCGGTTCCCCCTGCCACATTCCCCACTTCCGCGGGGGAGCGGCACACCGCCGGCCGGCTCTCTCGGGGGCTGCACGGGTGTTCCCCTTAGATGTTCCTCTTAGATGTTCCTGGTGCATGCCGTCTCTCTCCTCCTTTATAGTCCTCCTCCGCCAATCCTAACTCGGCTGCCCACATGCCGAGTACGCTGCTCTCCTCCAATCAGGAGCAGGTCCTGTAGCTTGTCAAGTTGGTGAGAGGCAGCTGTGTAGAAGCTGTTGCCTCCTCTCCCAGCGCCATATTGTGGGAGAGCAGATGCATAGAATAAGTCTTAATTCCAGTAACTCAGTCCAGTCCGGGTTGCTCCCCACACTAGTCATCTCTGGATGGTGGGATTTGGATGACTTTTATTTTCTATTTTCTTTTTACTTGTTTGTGTGTTTTTAATGCAAGTATACTTCCTATTTTTGCAAGAAGAAAAATAATAGTATTATTATTTTACTTAGAGGCATGTCGGGGCAAGAAATGTTTCTATATTTATGCCAAACAACCCAGATGACCATCCTGGCTGCCATCTCATAGCTATCCTTTAACAGCTTATACAAACATTTTTAGGATCAGATAGTTTTAAAAAGAACATAAGTTAGGTTGGAGACAAACTCCAACTTTACCATTTTAGCTGTTATATGACTTTGAGGCAGTTTTTAAACGTTTAATTCCCCAGTTCCCTGTCTCAAAAAGGAGTGTGCATTGTTAGGAGCATAAAATGAAATCACTGATACAGGCCAAGTGCCTGAAACAAAATGCGTGCTCAGGGGCAGGCATTTGCTCTTGTGGTTGACACTGACTGAGACACCCACATCCCATCCCGGAGTGCCTGGGTTCCATGTCTGCTTCTGACTCCAGCTTCCTGCGAATGCAGACCCCGGGAGGCAGCAGCGACAAGTCAAGTAACCAGATTCTGGTCACCCGCACGGGACACGGGAATTGTGTTCCCAGCCTCAGCTTTTGTAGGCATTTGGCGAGTAAACCAGCAAATGTGACCTCTGTGCTCAAGAAGTGTTCTGTTTGCCCTGTTCCTAAAAGACCTTGTTCTGGTTCTGTGTATGTTAGTTCTCTTCCCTATGGTGGATTTAAATAAACTTGGTTTCAGTCTAATCAAAGTGATGGAGGCCTGCATATTTTAATCTCTGTTTCGGGTTCTTGCCTCACACACAGATAAGAATTCTACGCAGAGACAAATACAAAGGTGCACAGAGGGAAAACAAGGTGTATTTGAAAGGTTAGCAAATGAACATACATTCGTGTGTGAGTGTGGGCTGCCCCACATGGAGAAACTCCCACCATGCGTAGGCCAGAGGATTGTCCAAAGAAAGAGAGGGAAGCCTGAATAACACCCCCCAACCTTGGTCTTGGGCAAAAAAAGAGGGCTCCCCTCCACCCCCGCCCAGTTCCCAGCCTCTGAGGCAAGGAATGGTACCTCTACATGTGGGAAGCCAGCTACGAATTTTATAGTACCTGCACGTGGAGTTAATATCTTTATAATCCTGGTGGCTCCTCTTCTTGGTCCTGGATGAGACAGGGGCATCCCTGGAAGGTGGATGTTTTCAAAGGACAGCTAAGGAGTTAACCTTACACCGTAGGCTGCAAGGCTTCCAGCTTACTTAGACCTAACTGCCTACCCGCCAGTTCACACCACAAGGAAAAGATTAGAGGAGCAAGGAGGCCTGCGGTCTCGCTTCTCCCACGTTCGTGACTTCGGAGTAAAGAAAGGGAGAAAAAGGAAGACCGGCAGGCAGCAGAGCCCCTGAATGTCAGACGCTGCGTTACGTGTGGTGCTTTACTTAAGGAAGGTTCCATATTCCCAGATGCTTGAACATCTGTGAGGTGTCTCAGGTTTCTACCTTGTTATGATCGCATTTGCCTCTTGAGAACCACCTTACGTTACATCACCATTTACCCTAAAGCAGCCCATTACTCCCCTTTCTGTCCTTACAGAGGCCTTAGTTGTGACAAAAAGGTTCGGTTGGTGACGTCCCTATCACGGTCAGGGCATGTTTTTAGATCTTTCCTTCACAGCTTTCGAGGCTTTAGAAATGGAAATTTTCTTTTTCTCTCCCTTCCTCTGCAGGTCAATATGTCTCCCGTCTTTGTTTTTTAACGTTCATTGGCTCCTAAGCAGCCTTTGTAATAGTAGTTAAACATGCCTTATTTAAATAAGCCTCATTCCATGTGGAGCAACTTAGGACACTAATGAAAGGGGTATCTCTAATTTACGGGCCCAAGTTGTTAACATTTGACTAGATGAGGCCTTCCACAAAGAACTAACGCGCACCAAATTTACAACATGGGAAAGCATCCCAGCCCAAGAATGTCTGAGCCTGTGACAACTCCCTCTCCGTCTAACTTTGCCTCCATATTTCAGAGACAGTTAAGTAATGGCAGAGAGGCCTGCAGGATTTGGGAATGCAGCCTCCCTTCCGAATGATCTATTGCAGTTGTGTTGCGCACCGATTGCACAACAATGGTTTGTATTTTTCTACTTTATCATGAGCCAACGAAGTCTTTTTTCTCCCCCTCCCTCCCTTAAAACCTTACCCTTTCTCATCCTTTATACTTTTGTTGCCCTGATATGAAAACCCTAAAAAGGCAATTACTAATTGCACCCTTCAAAGCCCCAAATGCATGTGATATAATTAGCAATATAAACACAACCAGCATCTTTCCCCACTGACAGCTCTCCCAGCAATTTGTCTGCTGAAGTTCAAGTTTTCTGCCAACACATTTCCCAGGAAATGTCCCCAAATGGCATGTGATCTTTCCCATCTTAGACAAACTGCCTCGGTCAGGTGTCACCCAATGGACCTGCCTGTTTCTGCCTTTATTCTCAACACGATGTTGTCTCTCTAGACTGTTTACTAAGCCCTGGTTTTTCTGCATTGAATTCCATTTTCAGCCCTCTCTCTACACCATGCCTGCCACGTGCACTTGTGCTAACGTACCTTTGCTGTTCCCTCCTGGTTCTCAGGGGTCTCTGAGCAGCCTCAGAACTGTGTGGTCGTTTCCCCAGTTTTCTTGTCTAGTAATTTCACTCTAAGGAGCTTGGCTCTGAGTTTGTCATCATCTCATGGACTTTTTTAGTTTCCAGTTGGCTAAGAGCCAGGCCTCTGCCCTCAGCTCTATGCTTGTTTCTCAGGCTGCCTAGTCATGTCATGAATTTTATTCTTCTGTCTCTCATCGTTTGAAGGTGGGAACCCAACCCAAAAGTACTGAAGATGAACGCCAGGGGGAAGTTGACAAGGCCTCTCAGAGGCTGTCGGATCCTAGATCGTGGAGCAGGAGGGAGCCCAGATGCCAGCCAGTCCAATTCTATCAGTTTCCAGTTGACAAAGCTGGGACCTCAGAGTCTAAGGTCACAGGCCATTCTAAAAAAGTAAGTCCTGAACTGCCAGGAGGAGCATTTCCAAGTGCTAAAATCTTTGACTTTGGAGTCTACCAAACCTGGGTCTAAACCCAAGTTGTGCAGCCTGGTACAATTCATGTAAACCCTCTAGTGCACAGTAACCTTACCTATTAAACTGGAGGTGATAACACCTATCTTGCTGGGTTGTTGAGCTGGATATATGATTGCTATTAATTATTAACTAGAATCCAGCTGTATTGACTTTCAGTCAAATGCTATTTACAAGATAGTGCTGCTATTATGGGTCTAATGCCAATCTTCTAAGATTCCAATCCTAATCTTTACTAATGGTAGAATGACTTTCAACAACTTATTTACAGAACTGTGCATTAGTTGGTTAATTCATAACATAAAGCTAATAACAATGCCTAGTATATAGGCATTTCATGTGCTACATAAAGTTTCAGCAGTGTACCAATGAAAAATCCTGTTGCCCAGTGACACTGTAGCTGCATTTTATTTTTTAAGATGGGTCTACTTATTTATTTGAAAGGCAATGACAGAATGGAGAGAGAAAGGAAGGGAGGGAGGGAGAGAGAGAACTTAATCTACTGGTTCACTACCCAAATGGCTGCAACAGCCAGGGCTGGGCTAGGCCAAAGCCAGGAGCAAGGAAATTTGTCCAGTTCTCCCCTGTGGGGAGCAGGGATTTGAGGACTTGAGCCATCATCTGCTGGATCCCAGATGCATTAGCAGGGGCTGGATTAGAAGGAGAGTGGCAGGGACTCAAACTGGCACTCCAGTATGGAATTATAGTTGTTGAAGGCAGCAGCTTAACTTACCACGCCACACCTGGCCCTACATTGTAGCTGTTGTGACATCCTAGTATTACACATTCTTCACATGTTTGTGGTGATGCTGGCGTAAGCAGTGTGCTGCCAGTCATGTGAAAGTAAAGCACATACAACTATGTGCAGGACATAATATTGGTAATAAATGACTATGTTACTGTTGTAAATGTTCTACGCTATACTTTTAATGGTTATTTTAGACTGTATCCCATGTACTTCTAAGAAAAACTTTACTGTTAGTGGCTGGTGTTGTGCAGCAATGGGTTAAATCACCACTTGTAACACGAGCATCCCATATCCAAGCACTGGTTTGAGTCTCAGCTGCTCTGTTTCCAATCCAGCTCCCTGCTAATGTGTCTAGGAAAGCAGCAGAAGATGGCCCAATTACTTGGACCACAGCCACTCTGTGAGAGAGCCGGAAGGACTTCCAGCTCCTGACTTGAGCCTGGCTCAGCCCTGACTGTTGTAGGCATCTGGGGAGTGAACCATCAAGTGAGGATCTCTCCTCCTCTCCCCCTTCCCCCCCACTCCTTCTCTCTCTCTCTCTCTCATTCTGCCTTTCAAATAAATATTTTTTAAGTGTACTGTAAAGCAGTATGGCATTTTATGCCAGCCTTGTATGTCTTGTGTTTACCAAGTGCTTTGATTGCATCAGGGGGCCACACTGAGTGACTGACCTAGCCCATGGAGGTTTGTGCAAGTACATGCTATGTTGTTTGCTCAACAAAATTGCCTGCCAATGCACCTCAGAACTATCACTGTAGTTAAGTGACACATGACTGCAGTTGTAAGGGTTAGAGACATAATCCTTGTAAACCCAGCATTTCACCCAGTGTCTGGCATGTAGGGAACAACAAAGAATTGCATTTGCATCTGTGAAGCCCCAGATGCCTGGAACGAATGTACCCACATCAGGATTCTCTCATCTTGTGTATCTCCCAGCCCCAAAATATATCCAGGCTTGTACAGTTGGTGGGCTTCAGCCCACGGTACCAGTCATTCATTCAAGCTGGTCCTTAAGCAATAAGTAACTTTAGGGCACACAGAGATGGACAAAAAGGTGCTTTCCAGCAAAGCAACAGTCAGGAGCAAAGGAGAGGAAGAGGAAAGTGTGTGCGAGGAAGGGGGCCTCTTAAGCACCAAGTCTGTTTGTTCTCAAAGGCTTTGAGCTGACCTCCTCATTCTCTCCTATACTAATTTGACCATGATCACAATCTCCCATTTGACTGTTCCCCATCAAATTCAGAATAGTCCCACCTCCTCAGGACAACCTTCCAGGACTGCCTTGCCAGCCTCAGTTCCTGCACTCTGCCAACTATCTTTCCTGAAGCACTTGAATTTGTCTAAATCACCTGCCTCTCCATCAGCCCTTTGCCTGGACTGGTTCCTTGTCCAGAACGCTGTCCTACTTGGCCTTCAAGGTTGGGTTCACAGGTTGCCTGCAGGAAGTCTTCTTTGACATCCACTGCCCACCCCGCCATTCTCTGCGTACACACGAGAACAGAGAGCATCCTAGGTTTGCCTCAAGCACAGCCGGTAATATATAGGATCCTATGTTTATCTCTATTTCCCTCTACATTAAAAATTTCCTGACCACAGAGGCTGGGCCTTATGAAGGATCTTCTGTGTGCTGAGCACCGTTGGAACTACGAAAGAAAGAACAAGAGAGACAAAGACTGATGTCTCAGAGTTACTGTCCAGTGGGTAAAGCAGACAAGTAACAAACAGATAAATGCAGAAATGAGTATTTCCAGATAGTGTCAAGTGCCATGAAGGTAATAAAGTGGTGGAATGTGCTGAAGAGTGAAGGGTGGAGGGTGGAGGGAGAAGGACAGCGCTGGACAAAGTGGTGTAAGCACAGCAGAACACTGATGAGGAGCCAGCAGCACCTGGAACACCAAGGGCACGCCTAATCAGTGCTGCGCGGAGTGGGAGAGCTCATAAAAATCTGTTGAAGGAAGGCAGGGACTGTTGTTGGGATCAAGCTCAAGAATGGAAAGGTGGGGCCACCATCTGCAACACTGGCAGCCTGTGGAATGCCAGTCCCAGCTGCTCCACTTCCAATCCAGCTCCTGGCTACTGTGCCTGGAAAAGCAGCAGAAGATGGCCCAAGTGCTTGGGCCCCTGATACCCATGCGGGAGACCAGGATGGAGTTCTAGGCTCCTGACTTTGGCCTGGCCCAACCCAAGCCATTACAGCCATTTGAGGAGTGAACCAGCAGATGGAAGATCTCTCTCTCTCTCTCTTCTCTCTGTCTCTTTCTGCTTTTCAAATAAATAAATAAATCTTTAAGAAAAAAAAAAAAGAATGTAAAGGTAACTCAAGTTCTTTCCACATAGAAATCAGTCCAGGGGTATAAGGCAGAGAAAAGCACCAAAATCATCAGGCTAGTGTCTTGGGAGGGGTGACCAGAGGTTAGGCTAAACTGGTGACCTTAGGGCAAAGCAGGTTTCTAAAGCCAACATTTCTTTTTTTCTTTTTTTTTAATTTATTTATTTGAAAGGTAGAGTTACAGACACAAGTACAGACAGAGAGAAAGGTCTTCCAACTGCTGGTTCAATCCCCAAATGAATGCAACGGCTGGAGCTGGGCTGATCCGAACCAGGAGCCAGGAGCTTCCTCCAGACCTCTCAGGCAGGTGCAGGAGCCCAAGCGCTTGGGCCATCTTCCATTGCTTTCCCAGGCCATAGCAGAGAGCTGGATGGGAAGAGGAGGAGCCAGGAATCAAACCAGTGCCCATATGGGATGCCGGCACTGCAGGCAGAGGATTAGCCTAAGGCACCACAGGGCCAGCCCCACCAACATTTCTTGAAGAATATTCCAGAAACATCAAAGTAGACCTTGGAGTTGCTCTGAAGTCTCAGTTGGAGAAGCTGGTCCTCCTACCCTTCCCCCCCATCACTGGGCCACTCACAGCCCATGTTAACATACGAAAGGCTCTGCAGACCCCAGTATTTGGAAAACCAGGGTTTTATTTTCCAAATTCATTTGAACGCTGTATGCTTTCTCTCTCTCTGTGTGTGTGTGTGTGTGTGTGTGTGTGTGTTTTAACACATTACTGCTTTAATTCCGTGAACTAGCATTTTGTGAAACACATTTTGGGAAGCTCTGATCTAAATCACTGACCACAACCCACCAGCCTTGCTGTGGTAATTTGTGGTTTTCAGTTCCATTTTGTTCACTGGAAACACTGATAAATAAGGTGATATGATTTTTGGAAATACATAATACGTAATTTGGTTAGCACATGAGAAAAAAAAGACACAAGAGTCTCAGTAAATCTGACTTCACTGCATCTCTTCTGTCAGGACATAATTGCAGCAGAAGTCAACTGTTTAACCCATTACAGAGAAATATGTGTAAATATATACTAATATCAGTTCCTCCAAAATAGAAATTTAATTACTACAGGTTAAAATCAAATTCATATCCACTTTTTGCATACAGATTTATCAGGCTTTTGAGATAAAAATTAATAGTTTCTGTTCAGCTGAGTGCAAAAAAAATTAAGTGTACTCATCACAAACCCATCTTGCTTACAACCATTTTAAATGGCAGGACTATTAGGCACTTTAAGATTAATTTTGAAAAATCAAACACATTGTATTTCATAGTAAAATAGATATTTAATAGAAGAAGAAAAAATACCAAAAGTTGATTAATACCAATGACACTTTCTCAGTAGCTGAAAATAAGACTAATAAAAAGTTCCTCCTAAGCCAGACTATATTCTCTTCTGTTATATTACATTACAAGATATTTAAAGTCTACTTAGCAAACTGATTCTATTAAAATAAAGCTCACCATACAAAATGGTTTTTCTAACCATATGGAAATGTTAAATTTCGATAATAAAGCTCATATATATATTATTGGAATGTACAGAACTCACCTCCTTGCAAAGTTCTGGTTATATACACCTTGTTAAATACTCATCTTAAGTTTGTATTTTTCTGACAACTTTAAAACTAGGAATCACTGGGACCGGCGCTGTGGCACAGCGGTTTAACATTTTGGCCTGCATCCCATATGTGCACCAGTTCGAGACCTGTCTGCTCCCCTTCCAATCCAGCTCTCTACTATGGCCTGGGAAAGCAGTAGAAGATGGCCCAAGTCCTTGAGCCCTGCACCCACCCTCTGGGAGACCCAGAGGAAGCTCCTGGCTCCTGGCTTCGGATTGGCACAGCTCTGGCCTTTGTGGACAATTGGGGAGTGAACCAGCGGATGGAAGACCTCTCTCTCTCTCCTCTATGTAACTCTGACTTTCAAATAAATAAATAAATCTTTAAAAAAGAAAATTAGGGGGCTGGTGCTGTGGCGCAGCAGGTTAAAGCCCCAGCCTGATGCACCGGCATCCCATATGGGTGCCGGTTCTAGTCCCAGCGGCTCCTCTTCCGATCCAGCTCTCTGCTATGGCCTGGGAAAGCAGTGGAAGATGGCCCAAGTCCTTAGGCCCCTGCACCCATGTGGGAGACCTGGAAGAAGCTCCTGGCTCCTGGCTTCGGATCGGTACAGCACCGGCCATATGGAGAGTGAACCAGCGGATGGAAGACCTCTCTCTCTGTCTCTACCTCTCTCTGTAACTCTCTTTCAAATAAATGAAGTAAATATTAAAAAAAAAAAGCAAACTAGAAGTCATCTTAGAGTTACCTGGAAATAAGTCACTAAGAAAATGAATGCCAGTTGTTCAGTAGCAGTAAATGTTAATTCTGTTATTTATTCTCAAACCAAGTTTCCTCTGATAAATATCAAATAATTTGTTACACTCACAACACTGGTTTTCAAAATACAGAAGAGTATCTTAATTATTTACCTGATTAATGTACATCTAATAAAATCAGATCAACATCACTGTTATCTAGAATTAACCTAAGCCTCCAAAAATGTTGATTTATGCAAGCCTCCAGTCAAAATTACTTTCTTCTGCCAGCATTGAGGTGCAGTAGATTAAGCAACCACCTATGATGCCAGCAACTCAAATGAGCTGTCAGTTCAAGCCCTGGCTGCTCTGATCCAGTTCCCTGCTAATGCACGTAGGAAACAGTGAGGATGGACTGACTGCTTGTGCCACTGCCACCCAAGTGGAAGACCCAGATGGAGTTCTAAGCTCCTAGAACAGTCCCAGCCTTTGTAGCCATTTGGGAAGTAAACCAGCAGGTGGAAGGTCTCTCTCCCTCTCTCTCCATCTCTACCTTGATCTCTGTAACTCTGTCATTCAAATCAATCTTTTCTAAAAATGAAAAACCAATATTCATTTTTCATGTCCTACCTTTTATTTTGGTTGTAAGAGTAAATTCAGGGGCCGGCGCTGTGGCGTAGCAGGTAAACCGCTGCCTTCAGTGCTGGCATCCCATATGGGTGCCAGTTTGAGTCCCAACTGCTCTACTTCCAATCCAGCTCTCTGTTAAGGCCTAGGAAAGCAGTAGAAGATGGCCCAAGTGCTTGGGCCCCTGCACCCACATGTGAGATCTGGAAGAAGCTCCTGTCTCCTGGCTTCAGATCAGCACAGCTCGAGCCATTGAGGCCAATTAGGGAGTGAACCAGTGGATGGAACACCTCTTTCTCTCTGCCTCTCATTCTCCCTCTGTGTAACTCTGACTTTCAAATAAATAAATAAATCTTTTTTAAAAAAAGGAGTCAATTTAGAATTATAACTAAGAATTTTATCATATTTTAACAAAAGTTTGGCTGTGTTTAGCATCTTGATTCCTTTTTTTAAGATTTGTTTATTTATTTGAAAGGCACAGTTGGGGGGATAGAGAGGGGAAAGGGAGGAGAGGAGAGGGAGAGGGAGAGAGAGATCTTCTATCTGCTGGTTCACTTCCAAAATGGCCACAATGGCCAGAGCTGGGCTGATCCAAAGCCAGGAGCCAGGAGCTTCATCCAGGTCTCCCACATGGGTGCAGGGGCCCAGGCACTTGGACCATCTTCTACTGCTTTCCCAGGTGCATTACCAAGGAGCTGGGTCAGAAGTGGAGCAGCTGTGACTCGAACCAGCAGCTATATGGGATGCCAGCACTGCAGGTAGCAGCTTACTCCACTAGGCCACAATGACAGCCTCCTTATTCTTTCTTTTTAAAGACTTATTTATTTATGTTTATTTGAGAGTGGGAGAGACAGAGAAGAATGATATCTTCCATCCTCTGGCCTGGGCACAAATTGGCCTCCATATGGTATGCCAGCTTGCAGGCAGTGGCTTAACCCGTTGCACCCAATGCCAGACCTCTGATACTTATTCCAATAACATCTTTTTAAAAGTCATTCAGACCAAATATCAAAGGAGAATAAGTTAGAAAATGTTCAACTGAAATGCCTTTGTAGCTGGCTACATGTCACCTTCATAAAGTGGAATATATGGAACTACTAAATCATACACTGCATGAGGTAGAAAACAATCTCTTGAATGTAGGATAATGGATCAATTAAACACACACATGAAAAAAGAATCTTGATCCTCTATCTCAAATTATAAGTAAAAATCAATTTCAGATGTATGGTAGATCTAAATGTGAGAGGTAAGATAATACAATTTTTAGAAAAAAAAGAATACCATCATGATCTTAAAATAAGCAAAGATTTCTCAGACAGGACATAGAAGGCATCAATCATTAAAGCTAAGAACTTATATTTCATGAGAAGCCATTATTAAGAATTAAGAGGCAGGGGCGGGTGTTGTGGTACAGTGGGTTAAGCAGCAGCTTTAGATACCTGCATCTCATATCCCAGTACTAGTTTGAGGCCCGGCTACTCCACTTCTGATTCAGCTTCTTGCTAACGCGCCTGGGAAGCAACAAATGATAGCTGAAGCGATTGAGTTCTTGCCACCGTATGGGAGATCAGCTGGAGTTCCTGACTTGTGCCTTCATCCTGGCCTAGTCCTAGCTATTTGGGGAGTGAAACAGCAAATGGACTATTTCTTTCTCTCCCCCCCACCACCTTTCAAACATATAAATAAATAAATTTTTAAAACAAAATGTTACATAAATTGTGGTGTATTCATACAGTAGAATACAAAAATGAGAATGAACAAACTACAGCCATACACAAAAACTGAGTCTCATAACCATAATGATGGGAGAAGCTGGGTACTATACGACTCCATCTAATAAAGTTCAGAACAGTGGGATGGGAGGGCAGATCTTGCTTTAGAAACTAGGATAATGGTGGGGCTGGCGCTGTGGCGCAGTGGGTTAACACCCTGGTCTGGAGCGCCGGCATCCCATATGGGTGCCGGTTCGAGGCTTGGCTGCTCCACTTCTGATCCAGCTCTCTGCTATGGCCTGGGAAAGCACTGGAAGATGGACCAAATCCTTGAGCCCCTCAACCCACATGGGAGACCTGGAGGAAGCTCCTGGCTCCTGGCTTCAGATCGGCGCAGCTCTGGCCACTGTGGCCAATTGGGGAGTGAACCATCAGGATGGAAGACCTCTCTCTCTCTCTGTCTCTGCCTCTCCTTTTCTTGTGTAACTCTGACTTTCAAATAAATAAATAAATAAAGATTTAAAAAAAAAGAAATTAGGATAGTGGTAACATTTCAAATGGAGCATAGTGTCTGGAAAGAGGAATGAGGGAGGCTTTTAGTGCCTGGAGGTGGTCTGAGGGAGGTTTAATGTTCAGTTTCTGGGGTACCTGTACCTTCTGCTAGTTGCATGGGTGTGCTCATTCATCAAGCTACACACTCAAAACTCATGCATTTTCTATGTGCAATATTGCAGGAAAACTTATACATAAAAATTCTATTGCACACATTCCCGTATACAGAAATATGCCATGATATAATGCTAAATGAGAGAAGGGATGTAGAGTGAGATGAACCTCAGGCTGCCTACTGAAGAGAAAGAGAAAGGGAGAAGCGCACGTGTGTGGAAGAGGCTGACTGGAATGGATGTGGACCAAACGGTAAAAAAGAATTCCCTTGGAAGCTGGAGACTTTTATTTTCTTTTCTCCACTCTTTCTATATGTTCTGTATTTCCTTGAAGAAGCATCACCTGTGATAAAAAAGAAAAAATATTACATATATGCTCTTGCCCGGATTTTTTTCAAAATAGATAAACCAGATTTATCAACAACATATAGGCATTTCCCGCCTAGGCAAAAGAAAAAGTTTTAAGCAATTACCTTCAACAGCCTTAAAAATTGAGTCAAAACATCAGCCTGATATGAACTACCTTTCATATGACATGGATATTTGAGGAGCCATGGAATAGTCTTGGATAAGTAGGGTCAGTAAGTGACCACCTCTTCAGTACCAGGAACTTCCTGCCTTAGGAAGTATCTGAAAACTTGCCTCAATTTGCACATAAAATCCAAGTATATCAAGAGTGCTCCTACCAGTTGGACATCTTACATATCTGATTAGACGTCTAGTGAAGGGGCCAGCACTGTGGTGTAGCGGTAAAGCTGCTGCCTGTGGTGCCCACATCCCATATGGGCACCAGTTCGAGTCCTGGCTGCTCCACTTCCAATCCAGCTCCCTGCCAATCCACCTGGCAAAGCAGCGGAAGATGGCCCTGCACACACATGGGAGACCCCAAGGAGTCTCCTGGCTCCTGGCTTTGAACTGGCCCAGCTCCTGCCATTGCAGCCAACTGGGGAGTAAACCAGCAGATGGAAGGTCTCTCTCTCTCTCTCTCTCTCTCTCTTTAACTCTGCCTTTCAAATAAATAAATAAGTCTTTTTAAAAAGTCCAGTAGATGTATTTTAATAAGTCACAGGGTAACCCAGCTTTGTTCTCGCTTAAGCAATTAGTTTTCTTTCTGTTCTTCTACCTCTGTCTGCCTTTCTTCTCCCTTCTCCTAGGACTGCCTGACACTGTCCTTGAGGATCCTCATTTTCCTCCCTTACCCTATTTAGTCTCAGTCCCAGGGGTGCCGCTGGGGCTGGACAGTCTTAAGATTAGTTCTGATGTCCTTGAAACACTAGCTGAAGTGCAGGTCCCTAGTACAGCTGAGAGATCTGCCTCCAGTCTCTGAAACTGGAAGTGCAAGGAGAGAAAGGAAAGTGAACTTGATCTGTGTCTGTCCCTCACCTCCCAGCCCCAGCCCCTCCCCCGGGCGCCGCGAACGGAGCCTAACTATAGGTCAAAATGAAGCAGCTGCCAACACTGCAGTGCGAGCTGGCGCTCCTTCCCCACCACCACCACCACCGCCACCACCACCACTTTTCACGTGTCCACACGGTAGGTCACAGAGCAGTAGGGGAAAGGGAAGTGGTGACGCAATACCAAATAGCCTCGCTCGGAATGGGGGACCAGAACGTTGCTAGGCAAACACCAAACTTAGACAGCGGACGAAGCTTGGCTCCAAGTGGAGGAGAGCGACCCTTCTCACTCCCAGCAGTGAAAAACGCAAACCAGGCGGTGCCTCTGTCACAAGAGAACCACCACAGCTTGTGCAAGTCAGATGATGTGCATCCGGGGTACGGGAAAACCCTAGAACTCTCCAAATATCAGGGGTTAATTACAACTGCAGAGATTTTCAGAGCAAGGTGCACGAAAATTTGAAAACGAGAAGGCATTGTAGAAATCCCCCGAGAGAAACTCTGAGACCTGCATCTAGACCTTTCATGCTCACGTGACGAGGACTGTGGAGAATGGGGTAGTTTCCACTGGGCTGGACAAGACAGAGCAGAAAGGTCACCTCCCAGTCTGCAGATGTCTGAAGGCTTGTGGGCTGAGCCTGGAAGGCTCCCTGGAGGAGCCTTCAGGCCAGGACCAGATCAGCTTGCAAGAGACGTGAAGGAAACCACTTCTCTGGTGCTGGTGGTACAGACCTCGGGGCGAGAAACTGAGTGGTGCAGGATTGCGGTGGCAAAACCAGAGGGTGGGGTGAGAAGACAGCCAGAGTGTGTGGAGTGGGTTGTGATATTTGATATCTGAGGGGGACTCGGGGTGAGGCAGACTTTCTTGTTGGTGTGCGGGGGGGGGGGGGGAGTAATGATGGAGAGGATGGAGGAGACCTTGGAAGGAGCCATGCGCTTCAGTCCGAAGCCATATCTGAAATAGATCCACACTCTGTTCACGACCAAGGGATGGGGTATGTGGTGCCCTTATTAGATTGGAACTGAGGGAGCTGTTTTTAAATAAATGACCCAAAAGACTTTTTAAACTCTTACTATGAAAAAATATAATATAATAATGACCTTCTCGTACCCAATATTCTGCTCCAGCAATGGTCAACACCACATCCTTCTCTCTCTGTGTAACTCTGATTTTTAAATAAAGAAATAAATATTTTTTTAAAAAAATATGAATTCTTTTTTTGTAAAGATTTTATTTATTTGAAAGACAGAGTTACAGAGAGAGGTAGAGACAAAGAGAGAGGTCTTCCATCCACTGGTTCACTCCCCAGATGGCTGAAGCAGCCGGAGCTGCACCAATCCGAAGCCAGGAGCCAGGAGCTTCTTCCAGGTCTCCCACACAGGTGCAGGGGCCCAAGGACTTGGGCCATCCTCTACTGCTTTCCCAGGCCATAGCAGAGGGCAGGATCGGAAGAGGAGCAGCAGGGACTAGAATTGGTGCCCATATGGGATGCCAGCGCTTCAGGCCAGGGCTTTAACCCACTGCACCACAGTGCCGGCCCCATCATTATTTAAAAGCTGGCCACAACATCATTATTAGATCTTTCTGTTTGGTTTCAGGTTATTTATTTTTCAATTTTTAAATTGTGTGATTTTCTTTTACATGAATATACTGGGCAAAGTCCAATTAAGGTAAGTATATTTATCCTTTCAATTATTTTTTTCTCTTTTTTTAAATTTCATTTAATTATACAAGTTTCATGTATGTCATACATGCAGATTGAGGAACATAGTGATACTTCCCACTGCACCCTTCCTCTTCCCATGCTCCAACCTTCCTCCTCCTCCCTCTCCCATTCCACTCTTAATTTTTACAAAGATCTACATTCAGTTTACTTAACAATCGTACAGTTAACCCTACGCTAAGTAAAAGAGTTCGGCAAACAGTAAGAAGGAAAACCACATACCTTAAACATGATTTCTTTCTGGTGCAGGTATTTAGCCTAGAAGTTAAGAGGCAGGTTAGGGCTCCCACATCCCAGATCACAGAGCCTGGCCCAGTACTCAGGCCGGGCACCTCACTCCAGCTTCCTTCTAATACAGACCCTGGGAGTCAGTGATTCAGTCCATGCCACCCTCATGGAAAACTTGCATTTAGTTCCCAGCTCCCAGCTTCTGCCACAGACCTGCTCCAGTCATCACAGGTGAATCATTGAATAGACTTCTTTCCTCTCTCTCTCTTGCTCTCTCTCTCTGTCCTCCTGTCTCTCTGCTTCTCAAGTAAATGAAAAAAAAAAATTAAAAATACTCCAATTTTTAAGAAAATCATTTCTTACTATCACCAAATAGCAGAGGATATAGGATATTTTGAAGACATTTATATATTAAGCTTCTTCTGTTACTGTAAAAACTGCTTGTGCATTTTAGAAATCTTAGAAGAGTATGAGGGGATAAAGCTGTATCAGGAACCCTGGAGGGGCTTAGGCGCAGCAAGAGAAACTATTCAATGGTTAGCCACAGAATGCAGCTATGGAGCAGAGGACAAGTGTCTCGCAGGACTCCACGCTAAGTCCTACACACGTCTGCAGCTATCAGTATGCACCAAAAAGCTGACATTTTAAAAAATCTAATTAAAAAAAAAAAAAAAAGAAGCCGACATTTGGGCTGCTCTTGCCGAAAGCAGATAATTAGAGGACGTTGGTAATAAGAAAAAGGATTTCTGTCAGTCTACCCACTTCCATTCTGTTAGACCCATATATTGTATGCACCATAAAATATTTTTTAAACAGGTATGGCTAAAGAATGAGATTAAAAACCAGATACAGAGGTTCTCATTTTCTCCAACGCCCTAAGAGATCATCTGGAGTCCCTCACTTTGGAGACAGCAGCCCTTCATTGTCACTGTCATCCATGAGCAGCCTTTAAGTAGGGGATAGAGTGGTCAGGTTCCGCAGGCTCAGACAGAGCCTGGGGATAACCACCAAGGTGAAGTCAATGGTCTCAGCTCTGTTGTAGTTAGAGTCAGCCCTGGAGGTTTGAAGAAGTATGCACACTGAAGCCCCACCCATACCAACCAAAACAATAATTCTGGGGACAGGATCTGTGCTTTGGCTTTTTTTTTTTAATTCCTCAGTTGATTTTAATGTGCAGTCAAGGTTGAAAAAATCATTGAAAAAGTCAAGGCTTTGGTTTTCAAAGAGGAAAAAACAAAGGTACTTAACTTGAGACTATTAGTTCTGACTTAAAAACATTTATTCTACTACTTGCCCATCTAAGAGGAGAGAAAACGTTTCACTCTCTAATAAAGGAAGGAGACAGGGACATAAGAGAAAAAAGAAGCCGAAAAACTGTACATCTAATCTGAAAAATGGGAAGTTTCTCTCAGAAAAGGGCGGTTTTCATTTCCCAGGTCCAGGTTCTAATTCACTACATCTTAAACTGACCCAGCCTTTTGGCAGAACTTATTTTCATTCACCCAAATCACTTGTCCTATTAGATAATTTGGCATTATCTAATGATTATCACATATTGCAATTCTGGTTATTTCGTATGTCAAAATAATTCTGGCTACTTACTTTTTTTTTGTTTTGTTTTCATCAAGTTTATCTCTCAGTTGGGGGGAAGGGAGATGGTGGTGGAAAACTGACCTTAAAAAAATAAAAACACATTTTTTTTCTGTCTCTTAGGAACTGACTTCATCAAATTATCCTGGAGGGGAAAAGGCAAGTACAAAAATGTGAACTACAGGCAGCTGGAAAGCAAAATTCTACACAATGAATGACACACCAAATCCTGCAGGGAACTATGTACCACAATGCATTATTTCCTGTGGCTTCCTGCCTGGGGGACCCTAAAGAACAGTAAAAATTCAACCAGAAATGATTTCCTCAGCTGTCTCACTGATGGATTTAGCAAAGCTACAAAGATTTGGTCAAAATGTTAAGTCATTGTGAAATCCAAATATGTATACTTATAAATGTTTACATATTGATTCACAAGTTCCTAAAAATAAAAGTTACAAGCAATTTGACCTGGATTCCATTTTATCATGAACCTGGAATGCTGAAAATGCAGCCGTGGTCAAGGCATCAATTCTTTCATCAAAGTGAAAAGTCTATAAAATCATCAGCGTCTTTAGCCACATCCTCAAATTTCTCCACTTTACTCATCCCACAAAAGGTATTTTGACCTTAACTTTTGTGCTAAAGGAAAAGTTAATCAGCTTCTGTGGGACACCTAAAGAAAATAAAGTGGGCACTCTAAGTTTATTTTATGATGTTTAAAAAGGCAAAAACCGAGCTTGCACCACAAATAGGCTTCATCATAAATCCTGGGAGATCACGGGGGGATGTATGATGGCAGTGGACATCAGTTTGGCCACAGACAGTATTTATGAAACTGGGGATGAGTTGTCACAGCACATTCCAAGTCAGGACAGATAATATCAGTAATCAGTATCTGCTTTTGAGTTTACATGGTACCATCCATTGTCAAGTGATTTAAAATCGCTTATCATCCTTCCTTGACACACTTATTTCCATGATTCAGTGTCTCCATCTCCCTTACCTAGAAGCCTAACTCGTCTCTCATCTCACTCCAGCCCACCCTCAACATCAGCAGTGTTCTCTTACAACATATCTTGGAACTTGTCACCTTTGTTATTATTTCCGGGGTGTTCTGCCTCTCCTCACATCTCACCTCCTACTACTTTCCCACATTCACTCTTTACGCCATTCCCCAAGGATACTTTGGCTCTAAACTCTGTTCGTTTGCTATCTTTCCTTCATAAACACCTTCAACAACTCCTTTGCTGAACTGTCAAACTCTCACGTGGGCTTCTAGGTCGAGCCAAGGCTTCGCCTCTTCTGGAGGAACCTTTTCAGAAAGCTCCAGCATTGGTCTCTCCAGATTTTGCATTAACCTCCATATATTTTATTGTCATTTTTATCACCATTGCCTCCCAATCTGTGTACTCATTCCTCAGCTCTCCCCTCTAACTAGGAAATGAGCCCTACTGTCAAGTCATCTTGGTATCTCCAGGGCCCAGAAGGTGTCCAATTCAAGGAACTAATACATTCAATTGATAGAATTGTTGAAAGGATTTCTATTTCTATTCGAGGTAGATAAAATGGAAAAATACAAGGGGGACTCAAGGCTATTTCATCTAAGTCAAACATGAGAAATTTATTTTACTATGAGCCATTTACGGAAAAAGAAAACTGTCCATTTGCTGCATTATAAAAGTTATATAAAATGAAAATTTATTTAGTGAATGAAATAATTTAAATGTGAAAACAGGCACTTTCTGTTGGTATCCAAGCAGATTTAAGAAGTAGCAGCCCAGAGATAGTTGGCTGATATTTCATCCCCAAATCCACTTGAAGCAGGATCCTAAAGCTGAGAAGTGGCCCTTCGCTCTTCCTCACCCGGGGTCATTGATGCTTGGCACTTGGATGATGGAGAGCCATAGGACCACATGGTCTTTGTTCCCCAGGAAGGCCTTTGTCCAAAACCTCATCATCCTCTCTCTGCAAGGGACCTCCTCAGTCTCTCTACCTACATGGATTTTTCCTCCCATCCCTCACTTTTGTGAGCCAGGTGCTAGCGTTAAAACTTGGCAAAGAAAAAAAAGAAATTAAAGCTGCTCTTTAGCACTGTCATGCAGATAATACCCTAAGGGGAATGCCGGCATCCATGAATAGTTTCTGCACTGTGACTCACAGGGCCCCCAGGGGTTAGGCAGCAATTTGGGAGACCGGTTGGATGGGGCATCTTTTGACTATCCTATCGCCTACAGAGACTGAGCATTTCTGAAGCCTTCTCATGGTCCCAGGCCACATGGAACTCACAAACACTCACGTTGTATCTACAGAACATCAAACCGTCCATCTAATTTAACCAAGAGAATTATTTTCGAACACATCCATGTAGGTTCTTTTCATCTGGTAAAAGGTGAAATAAGTAGACATTTAAATACATAAATAATCTAAATCTACATGATTGTATTAGTGTTGCACTGACATCATAAAGTACAGTTGAAGTGGATTCTGCTCTGAACTTGTGGGATTACCACGTCAGAGAGGAGGAACTGATACTTTTCGGGCATCTGCCAACTGTCTTATAAACATAAACTCACTTAGTGATTCAACACCGCTATGAGGTGGGCATTACGTAGTCCCATTTTACAGATGGGGAAATCAAGACTCAAAGAGTCAGGTGACCTTTCTGAGTTCACATAAACAGCATTTGATGGAGCTGGAATTTGACCTTTGGTCTGTGTGTCTACAAATCCAGGGTTCTGCTCTCCACACCACACCTCTTCCAGAGACCCAGATGGGCCAAGATAGTGCACACAGGCCTGACTCCATAGCTGTACATAAACCCTCCCACACAACTCCAGGAAAGGAAATGTCTCATCTGCTTAGAAATTCCTGTAGAACGAGCCTCACCAGAACAGCATCGAACTAAAATCTTGGCTTCACAAACAACACCAGTACTTGTCATTGTGCTGAGAAAAGAAAAATTTCCCCACATTTGAATATTAGCAGGTCATTTCTTAACTATTTTTATGTAGTTAATTATTTTTATTTCTTTTTGTTTGTTTTAATCAAAAGTATACATGGGGGCCAGTGCTGTGGTGTAGAGGGTAAAGCTGCCACCTGCAGCACCATCATCCCATATGGGCGCTGGTTCGAATCCCAGCTGCTCCACTTCCTATCCAGCTCTCTGCCATGGCTTGGGAAAGCAGTGGAAGATGGCACAAGTCCCTGGGCCACTGCACCTGCTTGGCAGACCTGGAAGAAGCTCCTGGCTCCTGTCTTCAGATCAGCACAGCTCTAGCCATCGTGGTCATCTGTGAAGTGAACCAGTAGATGGAAGACTCTCTCTCTCTCTCTCACTGCCTCTCTGTAACTCTGCCTTTGAAATAAATAAATACATTATTTTCTTTAAAAAAAAGCATACATGTACATTGTTTAATGAATTCAATTTATAAGGCATGTTATGAAAAATAAGAGACCCATGGGCCTCTCCCCAGCCCATTTCTCCCCATTCCAAAGGCAACCACATTCACAGTTTTAAGCCAGTTTATTTTTTATTTTGTTTGACTGGTTGGTTCATGCATCTGGTGCTTCCACAATCCTTTTATACCATATTTGCTTGTGTTGCTAATTTGATTTTTGAAGTGTAGGTGTTTTCTGTGACTGATCACTGTGGGCTATAAGAGCACAGCTTTCTGTAGCCACTGCCTCCCTCCCCAAATGCCCTTCCCATGGATTTATCCACTCAGTATCATAATATCACCATTTTGGTTAGATTAATGCTTCATATTTATAGTACTGTAGGCATGCTAATTCTTTTCTTGCTTTTTGGCTCAAACTTTTGTTTCCCTGGAGTTGGCTTTTGTCAGTTTTGCCACATATTCTATGTGTTATCACTAAATTAAACCCAAACTTTTCATCAGTTGCTTAAACTTTTTCTTAAAATATTCAAACATATTAGAAATGCTTTAATTTTCTTGAAAAAAAAAAAAGAATATTTTCTCACCTCCCATAACATGCATCAGCTGGACAGATGGTCTTGGACACCAGTTGCACACATGTCACCCAGTGTCTCCTTTCCTTATGTCCTGGAAGTTCGCTTTGCCTTGTACCCTTCATCTTCCTCTGTCTTATTCCCTCGTTCTTGTGGAGCACATCCTCAAGGAGTTTTGAGAATACGTGGATTCAAGGTAAACACTTTTGACACTGTACCTCACTGGAATCCAACTTCTCTCTGTTTTTACCTTTCCACATTTCCAGCCTTCCAATTCTTTTCCCTATCTTTTGAATCCCATGCAGTTTGTTGCAAATCTCTTAACCTAGAATTACCCAAGACTGACCAGAGCATTCCAATAGTAGTCTGAAGGCTAGAATATAAGAATTACTGTGTAATTCTTAAATTTGGTAAAATTATAAATTCATTTCTGCCACAGTTGCATGTTGCAGTTATCATACATCTGTCTTTCCTGCCTCCCTGTGTTCCTGTTTAGGATTAGAATCTCTAACTCTTCCATTGTCAATTTGAATTCCTTTCTTATATTCTGAAGTGCTAAGAACTCTTAGTATCAGCCTTACTGAGTTTCAAGTATCACTCAAATCACTGAGCATAAAATACACTGGCCAAATCAAAATTATTACATATGAGAATGACTGTCATATATATGACATTATTCCTTAATAAAGAAAACAATGCCTCTGTGGTTGACTCAAGATATCTGATTTCCAGGAGGATTTATCCTGTTTTTTTTTGTTTGTTTGTTTGTTTGTTTGTTTGTTTTAACAAGGGCACTCAGCTTCTACTCTTCAAAGGCAATCTACTTTCTTATTTAAAAACTTAGGCAATGGGGCCGGCACTGTGGCGTAGTAGGTTAAGCCTCCACATGCAGTGCCAGCATCCTATATTGGCACTGATTTGAGTCCCAGCTGCTCCTCTTCCAATTCAACTCTCTGCTGATGGCCTGGGAAAGGAGTGGAAGATGGCCCAAGTGCTTGGGCCCCTGTACTCACTTGGGAGACCCAGAAGAAGCTCCTGGTTTCGGATCACACCAGTTCCAACCATTGCAACCACTGGGAAGTTAACCAGTGGATGGAAGACCTCTCTCTGTGTCTCTCCCTCTCTCTCTCTCTCTCTCTGTAACTCTGTCTCTCAAATAAATAAATCTTAAAAAAAAATTAGGCAATGCATAATTCATTTTCCAGACCTCAAGCCTCCATCCTGTGAATACTAAGCAGGTATACTTAAAGAAGCAGCGTTGTATAGCGAAACAACACTTGCTTGAAGGGTAAAAAAAACTAATGCTACTAGTGATTTTTGTCATCAATATTTATTGGAACTATTACTAATCCAATATTTACTTTTTTAAGATTTTATTTGAATAAGTAAAGAGCTGGATCAGAAGAGGAGCAGCCATGACTCCAACTGGCGCCCATATGGGATGCTAGCAGCTGCAGACATAGGCTTAGCCCACTACACCACAACACCAGCCCC